TTTTTCGTTCTCATACCTTAATAGTGAGCAAGGAAGAAACGACAGAAAGACCATTATTTTTACGATTCTTGAAGAACAACATCACTCTGAGAAAGATAAAACTTTTGATATTATATGTTTTTTTTTCATTATTCGTCGTTTACAAGATCGATGCCGGATATTGCGGTAAAATAGACTAAAATAAAAACAGAAAGCATTTCTACTATAAACATATTAAACTTCTGTTTAGTTGAACAAGAATGTGAAGCAGCATCATCTACCTGGTGTTGTCCATGTAAGTAAAATGCTTCATATGAATGTTGAATTCTTCTTTGTCTCTGGTTTTAAGTTTCTACAACATGTGGTAGTTCGGGCGGATGCAATAATATTACTACAACATTACGTGACGAACGTTGTCCCGGTAAGTTTTTTTGATACGATTCTTATATTTAATTAAATATTTTTTGTTTTTGTTTTGTTTAGGATAACACGCATGCATTTCAGTACCATATTATTGGTGTTGTGACTGTAAGTCTCTTCAGATATCGAATTGTTTTTTCTTGCTCGTAGATTTGAAAACATAATGGGTTAATATTTTTCTGAAAGTCACCAAACTAAAGTCCACACTGAAAAATAGATATTAAACGTGTCCATGTCTTGTGAATAGGATAGAAGTAGACTTTCACAATAGTTATCTTCGAAGGATCTTATGGATCAGAGATGGAACTGCTCTGAATTTTTAATGAACAATGACGGTGTCATTCTGAGAAGGCCAGACCAGTCGGCCTGAAGTCATTCAGTATCCCATGTGATTACCTAATGTTATTACCTGTTCTATCTCTTATAAATGCTCGTTTAGATTCGGGGTTCAAAAAGATTCGCTACGGCAGATATCGAAAGAGTTTTATAGGAATAAGGATGAGAACAACGATTGTTTCGATGTATTTGATCCACTGTTTTCTCATCTCGTTTACAACATATTCTTTCAGATTCCTTCAAACGAAATGAAGCGAACTCAAAACCTCTTAATACTGTATATAAGGATTTGGTACACCTCCAAAAATGGCTTATTTTTGGAAGTGCGCACATTATGAGAAAAGATAAATCGCTGCAAGTTGTAAACAAACGTATATATTAAAAGGATGCACTTTCTGAGATTTTGAAAACTATACAAGGAAAACAAATCCCACATTTTTAGTCAGGACTTTTGATAAAAATTTCAGAAAATATGCATGTAGACGTACGACATTTTCGAAATTATTAGAGTCATGGAACAGAAATTTTTCGTATCTATTATACACTGAAAAAAAATTTGCTCGGTAAAAATAATTTCCCCGAACATTTTACCTTCTTAATTGCAAGAAATGTTTGAAGAAAAGATAAAGTTTCAATTTTGGTTCACATCTTTGTTTGTTTTTATGCAGCCGATCAAACATGTGGTGGCTTTAGAACATGTGAAGGCGGTAGTACTTATAACATAGTAAACATACTTAAATACCGGGGTATTGGTTTCGGCACTTCTTGTGGGTCTATGCGGTTGTATAATGCGACATCAACGTCAAATGGCTGCTACTAATACGACAGCTTTACCAGCACGCAATCGAAGAACACTACCACCAATGCAGCCTATTTCATTCATAAATATGGGTCAGGCAACACAAGTCAATCCACTTCAAAAATCTTTTGCAACATCGATGCCTCCTGACCAAGTTGCACAAGGTCAAGTAATTTCGCCGACTTTCCTGTCAGTTCCACCATCACCAATAAGAGAACAACAAAACGGAGTCTAAGTTGTTCGTCATATAACAGTTCATTTCAAATTTCAATTTGATTAGAACTCACATAATTATGAACAAAAAGTGTCTATTTTCTTTTTTATTACTAATATTATAACAAAAGAAATATTCAGAGAACCATCTGTTCTTCCTTATGTACAAGTGTAGTACTACTTTCTAAAAAACAGCTTTTGTAAGGAAACTTCTTCGTATTCCCGTTCTAGATGGGTATGGCTGTGGGTTAGGATTTTTGATTAAAATACCCACCCTCAAGATTTTCACATGCTTTTCGCTGCGAGTCAGCGATATATACCCACTACGTCATCTTCAGCCTACTGCATGAATCAGAATGCTTTTTTATCTAGCTAAATAAATATATTATTATTATTCATTATCTACCTGTGAAATCGTTATAATGATATATGAGATAGAACGCTCGAAAACTTCGTCTATAAAACTATATCATAGACGATTACGCAGTTCTTTGATATAATTCATACGTCAGCAAAGTAGGAAGTACAGAAAAAGATGGTAACAGCTATTATATGTAACAAATAATTTTTAGCAGTGGCCAGAGCTGGGCGAGTATGGACTTTCTCGAGTACGAGTACGAGTACGAGTACCGACCTCCCGAGTACGAGTACGAGTATGAGTACGACAAAACCGTACTCGAGTACTAGCACGAGTACCATTGTATAGAGCGTGATTTAGAGTTTTTGCCATAGTTGGTAGGGGGGAAAATCTATATTTAAACAGTCGAAACAAAAAGACGTTAAGAATTCATGTCATCCATGCAGCACATAATCACATAGTAATTTTTTATGAGACATAATTAAGAACTCCAAGATCATATGCTCGAGTACGAAAAAAAATCCATTCGAGTACGAGTACGAGTACCGACCCCTCGAGTACGAGTACGAGTACGAGCAAAATGGTACTCGAGTACGAGTACTTCGAGTACTTTGCCCAGCTCTGGCAGTGGCCGAGTTATATGAATTTTGAACTCTCGAGGAATCATATAAACCTTGTAAATACAAGGAAGTCAACGAACTCAATGATTACGATAAATCCAACGAAGCTTTCAGATAAGGATATTATTGATTAGAGTGTGGATATGGGTAGATAAAACCCTCACCCTCAACCTATAGATTAAAAACGAGGGTGTGGGTGTGGGTGTGGGTGTGGGTGTGGGTGTGGGTGTGGGTGTGAGTGTAACTGTAGGTATTTTAATTATTTGTAACTAACATCTACACCCACACCCTCTCCAAAACTAGCAACATCTCTGATCAACAAAGGCAAATCTATACATTCTGTGAATATCTTATCTTTTCATTGATAACAGCGACCAGAAATTATTATTTATAAATGTATGAATCAAATCTGTTGTTTTCTTAATACACTACCAATGATAATAATATTCAAAACTCGGATAATTCATTCGTAGATACGAATGAAGAACGACTGGGTCTTGTGAATGTACTCGAGCAAATATTATTAGAATCCTTTCATTATTAAACATTTCTTTCATTCGATCTATGTCGATTTAATCAATCACATTGTTGATACAAGTCTATAACTGAGAGGAACAATTATAAAGTCTTCTGCTAGATATACTTGTTCTAATATCGAAGTTTTTTTTTATTTATAAGATCGTGCCTCATATCTGATCACTTAAATCTAATCCAAGTTTTTCGATCGCTCGTTTTTACGAATGCACATTTCTATTGCTAATAAGTTTATTATTTTATATTGTTAATTAAAAATTGCATGATGAAGTCGAAGACGTCGATGAAGTAGACATAGTATTATGGTGTGGCCAACGATCGGACCATTTGGAACAATCACCAACGAACTAATGTTGACTATCATCGATCTAAAAATAGAATCACTAGAATAATATATAATAATTAAATGTGCTCAAACCTGTCGATTTGAATGATGATATAGTCACATGACCAAAATCGATTGGTAAAATGGTGATGCTTTATTATTAGTATTGTTCATGCGGACATTGTCATTGTTGGTCTTGTTGAACAAGATGATGGCGATTAATTTGATTACGGCGGCCTATTTAAAAACTATAGAATAATTGAATGATTTGAAAAAGCACTTACGTGAAATATAGATTGGGTTCATCGAGAAAACGAGGAGAAAAGCATTGGGCAATAATTTCAAAAATGAAATGATCGATAAGGCATGGCTATTTGTTTACATAAATAACTGGAAGGTAAATTGTGTTTTTAACTCAAAATAAAAGAAAATACACTTTTTTCGTTGAATTTTGTTTGTTTAATTTAATTTTAGTAGAGCCAGTTTTTCCTGTTTTGATTGGTAAATGATTAACAATAATGGACGTGGAAGATGACGTGTTATAGAAATAAGTAATTTTAAAAGATAATCATAAAAACAATTTTCATCAGTCCATCCTAAATCAGTTCCATTTATTATATAATCGTCATGCTTTATAAACTATATAAAGATGAAGATAATTTCCATCAGCACTAATTGTTAACATCTTGAGGGTGTGAGTGTGGGTGTGCATGAAAACATGGGCAAGCGAAGAAGAAACACCCACACCCTGATTTTTTAAGATCAAGAATAAGAATCATTTCAGATTTATTATGTAGACCTATTCAAAAAAATGTTCTTATTGACTACCTATTAAACAGAATTTCTTTATGTAAACTTACGAAAATGTTTTGCCAATATTGCATCACGATTATCTGCTGCTTTTTCCGCTTTTAATCCAGTTACACGAATTTTGATCTTTTGATTTACTTGACGTTGCTTCAGTGTGTAGACTTTCTTTAAGTTCTTGAATAGCTTCTGCTGTTTCATCATATTCACTTTCACATTTTTTTTCAAGTTTCCCCAGCTTGGCAATCTATGTAAATTGAGTTCACAAGTATTAAACAGAACAAACCAACAAACTTCAGCTAAATACGTACCAATTTTCTTGGATATGACCAAGCCATTCTGCTAGAGAAATTACCATATCAGTGCCACTTTCAAAGACTTTTCCAAACTGATTGCTGGCTTTGTGAAATAACGTTTCATCATTTTGGATTTTCGAAGTATCTGTAACAGTAAAATAATTGTTGTTACCATGCATATGCAGTGGCATGTTGATGTTCTAGTGAGGTTTTGATGGTGAATGATATAGACCACTGAACGAATAGACCTAGTTGAAGTGTATCAACAATATTTCGTAGATGAAAAATAAGATTGTAGAAATATCTAGCTTTTTTGCATCTATATATAGTCGACCAAGCAATGGCAAAATATGTCGGTTTGATTGACATTTTAATGGCGTTTAAATTTCATGCAATATTGAACAATTTCCATAGACTGTAAGAACTTTCCGTTACTAACAATATTCACTATTTTGACACATTGAATGAAAATTAAAAAGAATTTACTATAAAAACTCTACTCAGCCCACAACAAACACCATAAAATACAAGTGAAGTTATTCTAGTCATTTCTGTTAAAAGAACTCCTGAAAAGTACGTCTATTTTATAGATTTTATCGTAAAGCGCATGCACTAATGACGAATTCTTGTATAATTGCGATATTATTGCAAAATATAAGTGAACCTTTCTTCCATCCTCCTTCACTTAAGTATTTTGTTCTAAATTATAAACTTTGTTGAATCTAGAGTTATTGTATGTATTCTGTCAACGAAATGATCAAAATATTCTCTACCAACAGCTTCATTATTCTCCTCGTATTCATCTGTACAAAGCACAAAAGTGATTGATACTTTAAATTTTCATTACACTCATAAACAACAAAATTCATTTCTGATAAAAATAAAACCTAGCTCATAACGGTCGAATAAGCGACCTTCTATATAAGTAGTTTATAATCGATATTAAAACGCAAACATACCAATCTTTTTCAATTACTGAAATCTGTATCGTACTTAATGTATCTTGTTCCATCGTGGCTCGTTAACTAGTACTCTTTTCTAGTTTCTCAATCGCTCTTAATGAACACTTTTCTTAATGAAAAACAGCTATCAAAGGGAAGAAAAAGAAATAATGTATGTATCAATGTGTTTTACTAAACAACAAACAAATACCAATGAAGAAAGTTCTGTTGTATATTCATTAGATGCAAAATATAACATATGCTTATATTTTTCAATTAGTTGTCACACTCAAAATGTGATAATACTTATCTTGTTGGCATGGCATTATTTGATATAGAGTACATACATAGCAAATCACTCAGTTAATCACATCAAAATAGAAAATAAAAGTTGTGAAATACTACGATCAGGGTGTGGGTGTGTTTTGGTCTAGTTATGGGTATCAGTATTAAATGGAAACAAAAACCACATCGACACCTGTTCTCTCACACTCACACCCTCAAGACGATTTGTCTTGGTTGGATGTAAATATATGTTTGAATGACTTGTTTTTTTTTCTATCAATCGATTGGTAATATCAATCTCATATAATCACTGATATGTATACTCTTCATATGCTCTGCGAATACAACAAATCGCATGTATTAGTACAAGATGTTTCAAGAAAATGATATAATTCTTGATATAAACAAAGGTTTTGCTCTTCGACGTACTGGCATTTATTCATCAAATGTTATTGAACAAATAGTTCACATATTCTTGTTTTAGTCAACTGTCTGTATGACTCGGAAAATAAAAACAGCGAATATGTTAGAACTTGCTACTATAATGAAATCTCGTTATATAATGATGTATCAAGATTAACAGGTAATGACTTAAATCGCATGCTAATCCAACATCAACCTGATAAAACAATAGATTACACATTTTTTTAATAAGCGATTCTTTTCTCTAGTATCGAATACACATTTATTGAAATCAGAACTACAAAATAATGCTGTTGAAAGGTATTCTGATATTTCATATGTTCGTTCATCGTCAGCTGAAAAAATTCTTCAGCACATTACTAATAACAGGATTTCTTTTGATTATTTGTCTTCTAATGATTTATACATGCTTTTCAATGCAGCCTTCTCAACAATGGATGATTCAAATCAAATATACAATATTCAAGAATCATTAAATATATTGAATCAATTAATTGTAAGACAAAGAATATCAGGATGCGAGTGTGGGCTGTGTTTGTGAGTGACTGTATGAGTGTGGATATAGATGCGATATAAATATGGTAAATAAACCGGCCACCCCACACCCTTTTGATTATTTTCTTTCTTTATTTTATTGAAAATTAAACAAAAAAACGAATCATCAATTCGAATCTTAATCAGAATCATCATACTAATATGTTCAAAACCAGAATCTTTCATCTTTCCTCTTCAAACGATTTTGTAGTTGGATCGAGATTTTGTTACACATAAGTCTCAATTCCTTGATTATCTAATGTACAATAATCAACATAAGTCAATATCAAATGACTAAAAAGAGTCCGTTACTTTATTCTTTTTCAAAGCATCACCAAGATATTTAGCCCCCACGTCTTCAATTTTATTTTGTGAAAGGTCAATCCAAATGATTGTCTATTCAAAACAAATTGACTATTACTGATCAAATCAGTCAAAAATATTTTTTACCGTATTGTTTCGTAACATATCAGCTAAATATTGTATTCCAGTATTACTTATTTTATTTTTATTAAAGTTCAAATCAGTGATTGTCTATTTCACAACAAAAAACATAATCAATAATTAGATTAGATAACAAAATATCTTACTTTATTGTTGTATAATTCATTTGCCAATAATTTTATTTCATTGTCTCCATATTCTTTCAATCGAAGATCTATACTAGTGAGTGTCTGTTAGAAAAAAAAGGAAAGTAATGAGTAAAAAGTCAACCAATCTTAAAAGACCTTATCATTTCGTATTCTAATTGCTATTCCAACAGCTTCACAGTATTCACTATTATTCCCAGTTAATCTCACTTTCGTTATTGTCTTAAGGGAAAATAAAACTAGTTAAATGGAAAACATTATCTCATAAACGAACTTTGTTGGTTTCCAATGAATTAAATAGTAGCTGTGCCCCAATCTCTTCAATTTGATTGTCCGAAAGATCAAGCGTCGTCATTGTCTATTCAAAAACAATAATATCAATAATAATAATCAAAAGAGTCAACAAAAACATTTTACAGTATTGTTTCGTAGTATGTCAGCTAAATATTGTATTCCAATACTACTTATTTTATTTTTTTTAAGGTTCAACTCAGTGATTGTCTATATCACAAGGAGAAACATAATCATTACGATAAATACACTTAGAATAAATTTTACTTGATTAGTTTGTAATGCATCAGCTAAATGCTTTATTCCAATATCTCCGATTTTATTCTGGGAAAGGTTCAACTCAGTGATCGTCTAAATCACAATGGAACTGTTATCATCAATGGAAGAAATAGAGAAATGATGCTACTTCATTATTGATTAGTGCATCAGTCAAAAATTTCATCTTCATACCACTGATCATCTTCCCAGAAAGATCCATTTTAATAATTGTCTTCAGAAAAACGTCAAAACTTGTGAAAAGGAATTTGGAAGAAACAAATTACTTTATCATTTCGTATTTGAATTGCTGCACTCACAATTGTACAATAGCTACCAGGATTTCCATCGAGGTTCAGTTTGATAAGTGTCTATACCGAAGAATGACGGTACTTAAGATAAATGAGAAGTGTTGAAGGTTTACTTTGTTTTCTTTGAAGGCATCATTAAGGTATTGTGCTCCAATGTTTCCGATTTCATTGTAGGAGAGTTCGAGGATGGTGAGTGTCTACGAAGGAAAAGTAAAAATTATTATGATATCAAATGTGAGTCGCAGCTGTCACTTTGTTGTTTTTTAATGCATCAGCTAAATATTGTATTCCAATGTCACTTATTTTATTTTTCTTAAGATTCAACTCAGTAATTGTCTATTTCAAAGCAAAAAACATAATCAATAATTAGATTAGATAACAAAATATCTTACTTTGTTGTTGTATAATTCATTTGCCAATAATTTTATTTCATTGTCTCTATATTGTCCCCATCGAAGATCTATACTGGTGAGTGTCTGTCAGGAAAAAAGTAAAACGTTGAATAGAAAGTCAATCAATCTTAAATGACCTTATCATTTCGTATTTCAATTGCTATTCCAACAGCTTCACAGTATTCACTATTATTCCCAGTTAGTCTTAGTTTTCTTACTGTCTGAAGAGAAAATAAAACTAGTTAAGTGAAAGACATTATCTCATAAACGAACTTTGTTGGTTTCCAATGAATTAAATAGTAGCTGTGCCCCAATATCTCCAATTGCATTGCTCGAAAGATCAAGTGTAACCAGTGTCTGTTCAAAAACAACAATATCAATAATAATAATCAAAAGAGTCAACAAAAACATTTTACAGTATTGTTTCGTAGTATGTCAGCTAAATATTGTACTCCAATATGGCTTATTTGATTATTCGATAGATTCAACTCAGTGATTGTCTATGTCGCAATGAAAAATCTAATCAGTACTTAAATAAATGAAGAAAATAAGTTACTGCATCATTTTGTAAAACATTAGCTAAATATTGAGCTCCAATGTCTCCAATACAATTTTCCGACAGATCCATCATAGTAATCATCTGTGTCAAATACAAAAAAAAACATTCGAATAGGAAAATTCTAAATTAAATTTCACCTGGTTTGTTTGTAATACATCGCTTAAATATTTTGCTCCAATATGTCCTATTTGGTTGTTCAAAAGTTTTAGTATCATTAATGTCTGTGATAAAAAATGACGTTTACTATCATGCAAATTGACACAAGTTATTAATCACTTTATTATTTTGTAACGCATCAGCTAAATTTTTTGTTCCATTATCTCCGATTTCATTTTGGGATAAGGCTAACTCAATGATTGTCTATATCACAAGGAAACTGATCATCAACGGGACAAATATAGAAATGATCTTACTTCATTATTGTGTAGTGCATCAGTCAAAAATTTCATCCCAGTGTCATCAATACTGTTCCCACGAAGATCCATTTTAATAATTGTCTTCAGAAAAACGTCAAAACTTGTGA